GTTATTCCTGAAACCGGAGTAAAAACACATGCAGTCAGTCTCGCTCAGTGGGGGCGGTGGGGTAGCGTAGTGGTTAAAACGATCTCTCGTCACGCCGAAGACCCGGGTTCGATTCCCCATGCACATGAGTACAATGTGTGAAGCCCATTTCTGGTGTCCCCCGCCGTGATATTGCTGGAATATTTCTAAAGGCGGCGTAACACCATACTCACTCACTCACTCTCAGTGGCCAGGGCGCCGGTGTACAAAACGATCTTAGCGCTTAGACTACCATAAGTCTATGTAAGGTATGGGAGTTGGTCACCTTAGCGCTAAGATCGTTTTGTACAACGGCACCCAGGTCGTCTTGTAGCAGGAATAGTGCTAAAAAGGTGAATGTTTCACTGTTAATAGACGTGATATGAAATGTTGTAGTCTGTCTCACAGTCCCTAAACCACCTTATTTTCCCTACTGCCTAGACTAACAACTAGTCTCTGAAATGACATATTTTACTGAAAACAGTTCATAGTAAAAAAAATAAAATATAATGAAAAGGAGCCCTGAGACTTCTTCATTTTCAGAAGCTGAGGAAATCTAGACTTGCCACATTTTCTAGACTTGCGTGGGCTTTCTTGGATATATTTGCTCCAGGGTCTGTACGACAGACTACCTACTGCCCAGCACTCCCTGCTATGCTAAAGCTCTAAATGAAGCAAGTCTAGATTTCATCAGGTTCTGAATCTCCCGCCCTCACACTTGGGCTCCTTTTGACTTTAAACGGGTTTGTTTGTTACCATCAATATTATATATATTCAGAGACTAAGCATTGGAGATGTTGCTGCGTCAGTGTATAGTAAATACATCACAGTGGCATGTACTTGACCGCAAAAGACAGAACATTGATGCTCATAGTGACGTGAATGACTAACCCCGTTTCTACCAGCCGCCGGCTCCCGTTCGCAAGATAGATCGCTTGAAGGGATAAGGCTGAACCCGATGGTGGCCGCATTCAGTCAAGTGTTCAGTTGTACAGACCAGCATATGTTTCACTACAAACATCGTTTGTTACACAGGGGTGGCGAGATGAATGTGGGAAGCATTGTGAACCTCATCCTTCATGTTTGCCTTGTTCACAACCATCAACCCGATGAACACAGATCGGGGTTACCAGGCCACCGTCACAGGTGTTTATGTTGGTACGAGGGGAGGTGAAATTGGGTTTTACGTCGTATATGTTGGTACGATGCTGGGTGAGTGAGTTTGGGAGTTGCGTGATGGCTTAGTGGATTGAGGGTGCGCAAGTGAGTGGGTTTGTAGGCGGATAAGTGAGTGAGTGGGTTGTATTGTGGCTAAGTGGATTGATGTGGGCGAGTGAGTTGATTTGTAGGTGTATGAGTGAGTGAGTGGCTTGTATTGTGGATTGAGGTTGGGCGAGTGAGTGGGTTTGTAGGTGGATGAGTGAGTGAGTGAGTTGTATTTTGGCTTTGTGGATTGAGGGTGGACGAGAGAGTGGATTTGTAGGAGGATGAGTGAGTGATTGGGTTGTATTGTGGATTGAGGTTGGGCGAGTGAGTGGGTTTGTAGGTGGATGAGTGAGTGAGTGGGTTGTATTTTGGCTTTGTGGACGAGAGAGTGGATTTGTAGGTGGATGAGTGAGTGAATGGGTTGTATTGTGGACTGAGGTTGGGCCAGTGAGTGGGTTTGTAGGTAGATGCACGGAGGATTGTGGATATGGACTGAGGGTGGCGAGTGTGTGAGTTTGTAGGTGGATGAGTGAGAGAGTGAGTGGGTTCTATTGTGGCTAAGTGGATTGTTGCTGAGCGAGTGTGTGGATTTATAGGTAGATGAGTGAGAGAGTGGGTTGTATTGTGGCTAGGTGGATTGAGGTGGGCGAGTGAGTCGATTTGTAGGTGAGTGAGTGGGTTGTATTGTGGATTGAAGGTGGCGAGTGAGTGGGTTTGTAGGTGGATGAGTGAGTGAGTGGGTTGTATTGTGGTTAAGTGGATTGAGGTTGGGCGAATGAGTGAATTTGTAGGTGGATGAGTGAGTGGGTTGTATTGTGGCTAAGTGGATTGAGGTGGGCGAGTGAGTGAATTTGTAGGTGGATGAGTGAGTGAGTGGGTTGTATTGTGGATTGAGGGTGCGCGGGTGAGTGAATTTGTAGTAGATGAGTGAGTGGGTTGTATTGTGGTTTAGTGGATTGAAGGTGGCGAGTGAGTGGATTTGTAGGTGGATGAGTGGGTGAGTGGGTTGTATTGTGGTTTAGTGGATTGAGGTTGGGCGAATGAGTGAATTGCGCGAGTGAGTGAGTTGAGGCAGTTGAGGTGAGTGGGTTTGTATTGTGGATTGAAGGTGGCAGTGAGATGAGTGAGTGAGTGGGTTGTATTGTGGATTGAGGGTGCGCGAGTGAGTGAGTTTGTAGGTAGATGTGTGAGTGAGTGGGTTGTATTGTGGATTGAGGGTGCGCAAGTGAGTGAGTTTGTAGTAGATGAGTGAGTTGGTTGTATTGTGGTTTAGTGGATTGAAGGTGGCGAGTGAGTGGATTTGTAGGTGGATGAGTGGGTGAGTGGGTTGTATTGTGATTTAGTGGATTGAGGTTGGGCGAATGAGTGAATTTGTAGGTGGATGAGTGAGTGAGTGGGTTGTATTGTGGATTGAGGGTGGGCGAGTGAGTGAGTTTGTAGGTGGATGAGTGAGTGAGTGGGTTGTATTGTGGATTGAAGGTGGCGAGTGAGTGGGTTTGTTGGTGGATGAGTGAGTGAGTGGGTTGTATTGTGGATTGAGGTTGAGTGATAGAGTGGATTTGTAGGTGGATGAGTGAGTGAGTGGGTTGTATTATGGATTGAGGATGAGTGGGTTTATGGGTGGATGAGTGCATGAGTGGGTGGGTTGTATAGAGGATTGAGGTTGAGTGAGTGAGTGTGGTTGTATTGTGGCTAAGTGGAATGTGGTTGGGTGAGTGAGTAGGGTTGTGGTGAGCAAGTGCGTTCATGGGTATGCGGGTGAGTTTGGGGGTGGATGAGTGAGTAAATGGGTGGATTATGGCTTAGTGGATTAAGGTGGGGATAGGCGGCTTAGAGTCCCCGAACAGTGTTATTTCCCCTACCACACAGCACTTACTGTTATACAGAAGCCCATAAGCAAGCCTAGATTTCCCCAAATCTCTCACCTCTTTTGTACTCCTTTTCAATTTAACTGAAGAATTTTATTTCGATCAAAATTAAATATTTTCAGGGACTAAGCGTTAGTCTAAGGTTGGGCGAGTGAGTGGGTTGTATTGTGGCTTATAGTGGGATTGAGGTAAGTGGGCGAATGGGTTTGTGAATGAGTGAGAGGTTTTTGGATAGGTCAGTAAGTTTGTGAGTGAGTGAGTGAGGGGAGTGAGTGAGTGAGTGAGTGAGCGAGTGAGTGAGTGAGTGAGTGAGTGAGTGAGTGAGCGATTTGGATGCCCAATGGCAAATAACAATTCAGATGTATTATATTATGGTTGTACGGTACCGCAATGAGATTGCGTGAGTGTGATGGTTTGAGATTTAGTGACACCGTAGTTGAGAGAGTTTTAGGGTTGATGCCAAAGGGGTTGATGTTAAACGTCTTTGAGTGGCATTTTAGAAGTTTTGACGTACAATATTGAACAAACTTTATGGATAGCAACTCCTTTTATTTCGTGAGGTGTGTCGTTTCGATACAAATTCTTGTACTGTTGTCAAATTTCCTGCTTGACAATGGTACAAGAATCTGTATCGAAACGTCGCACCCTCGAAATAAAAGAAGTTGTTATCCATACATTTTGTTAAATAACAATGAACACCAGTATGTCATCAACTTTGAGTATCAACATTTAATCAACTTTGAGTATCAACATTTAATCAACTTTGAGTATCAACATTTAATCAACTTTGAGTATCAACATTTAATCAACTTTGGGTATCGACATTTATTCAACTTTGAGTATCAACATTTAATCAACTTTGAGTATCAACATTTAATCAACTTTGAGTATCAACATTTAATCAACTTTGAGTATCAACATTTAATCAACTTTGAGTATCAACATTTAATCAACTTTGAGCACCACTTGATATCAACATTAACATGTTTTCAGCGGTAAACATCAACATGTTATCAACATGTTATTAACATGACATGTTATTAACACAGAATGTTATTAACCCCTACACCTGTGCGTTGTAATCGGCGAGTAACACGAAGATCTTATAATTGCCGTTTAACAAACAAACTTCATGAATGGATGATCTTCTGACAGAGATTCTCATAAAAATTTAAATAAACATTGAAAAGATGTCCCTGGTCGCATGGAATTCATTCTGTGACAGTGTAAGGGACATCAAAATATTTCATTTTCTTCTTGACAAAGTGTAAATTGTATTGCCACGGTCTTTTCGGTACCACAGAAATCTGTTTTATAGTAGCTGGTGAAAGTTTTATGGCAATGATAAAACCCACCCAAGCGTGACGGCGTTCGTCTCTTACAGCTCCCAATAGTATGTTAGGTATTTGAGAATGGACAAACGTCCCCTTGTATACCAACTGCTGAAACCATGTGACCCCAGTCATACAGTCATGTGATGAAGTATTGAGATGCTACCAATGTACTGTATAACACGCTTGTCTGTACGATGCAGTTCGGTGACTGGGTCACCGCTACAAGTCGTTCATTGAGAAACGTACTGGTCGCACTTGCGTCATGGGTAGCCCTCTAATGCCTTGTTCTCAATCACTCCTAATACTCGGGGTCTATGACTCCATCCTTAGTGCAGGTTACGCTAGTATCGAATATATCATCATTTCACCCCCACCCATCCCCACCCCAAACACCGGCCGTGTACAAGCGCGGTGTAACGTAGTAGTACAGGCTTGTTAGTTATACGGCCGTTCCTTATCAAAGCGGAGATGCGGTAAGCGAATATGATTGGTTGAAAAATAAAGGGGCGGAGCTTAGCTTGGGAATAGTCATTGCTGTGGACTAGCAGCGAGTCCACGTACAGAGATAGGCAAGCTTTAGCAAGCGCACCTCTTTTAGACCGGGTTTGACAGAAAGAGTTTCAATGAGTTTGAAATGAAGTCGCCTTGTTGAGGACGTTTTCACCATGCGTTCTGTGTTGCTGACGGTGGTGGGACTATGGGGATGCTTAATGTTATTGCAACCAGTGATCCTCGCCCAACAAGCGAAGGGCAATACCGGTCCGCGCCAGGACCCAGGTAAATAACCTTCTTATACTAATCTACCCTGCGTTTAACCCGCATCAGGAACCAAGCCGAATGCTACCTACCACCGGTCTATGCACATTTTTTGTAAAGTCATGTTCGAAAAATGTATTAACTGTTATCGTAAAATCTTTTTTTTCAGGTACCCCTGATGAAGATGGGTCCCAGAGCTCATCACTTAACTCGGAAGTGTTTTACCCGAAGAAGTATCTTCATGATAATAATGATGATGATGATGTTGGATATCACCCGAAAAATCTCCACAAGAGAAGTGTGGACTCTAGAAGTGGAAATGCAATCTACGGAATTAGTGTGTTTGGAAAGGAAATGCTTGTGAATCTGACAAGATTCTCGGAGTTCCTGTACCCTGGATTAATATTTCAGAGAACGGAAATGAATTATTCGTGGTTTGAGGACCTCGCGGACAGTGGATTGGATAGATGCTTTTATTCTGGGACTGTGGACGGTATCGAGGACTCCCATGCTACCTTCAGCCTCTGCAAGGGAATGGTAAGTTTCCTTACCAGTTCTGTTTCTAGAACACCCGCTGCTGAAAACAGTAGGTGTAGGATTATTTCGCTTATCTGTACTATACAACCTGGTTGATGTGTGCCGTATAATGATGTTCGTTTGGTTGTATTACCAGTGCTTCACGTCTCTCCTGATTTGGGTGTATTTGTGTTCGGGTACAATGCCTTGATGTTGACACGGGTAGAGGCACAGTCTATGAAGTGGGGGAGGATTAGGTAAAGAGCTGATCGACTCAACTCAGGTGTAGTGAATTACCTGTGCCGTGTAGTGAACACGAGGGCTGTCGGTGTCAACAATGGAGTTTTTGGTGGTCCTGATGCAATTAGGCGAGATTCGGACAGCCGAGCCCTAATCAGACAGCCCACACGGGAACCGACCGAACAGACGATCTTTTTTTGTAAAGCATCACGTCTGCTCGGGGGCATTTCCTCCCGCGAGATACCGCATTGTCAGAGACATACAGCCCTGGGGAGCTTCATCTTAGTCCCTGTAGGGTCGGGGTGGGGATTACACGGAGAGCCGTGTCTCGGTGATCTGAGGGGTTATCAGGGTGAGTGTGTCGATATCTCGGTGAGGTGTATTGATGGGTGAAGCAGTTGTTGTGGACCGTGTTCATTGTATGTTTGGACTCTGAAGACTCTAATGTCAGGGTGATGGGAATGGTTTGGCTATATTGAGACGTTGCATGAACGTTCACCGGGGGTAATGTATCTTTAAGATGTTCCGTTGTGTATCAGATTGGAGATCTCCCTGTAAAATGATGCTGCTTGATAGGTGTTCCTGTAAGCCGAATTGTGACTGGTTGCTATCAGGAAGAGAGCTTGCCCCATTAGTATTGCCCCATCCTCGTACAGAGTCACTGGGGTGATGCACGGAAGACAGAGCGAACTGTCTTCGCTGTACCAATACAAATGTGTGGTCTACGCTGTATGCATACAAGCTGGGGGTTACGGGAGGCAGCATGCAGGCTTGTTCGGGGGCGGTTGTAGTGGAGACTTGGGATGCGGCTGTGTAGTGATGGGGAGGGGAGAGCTAGTGGAGTGAGGCAAGGTGGTAGAGTAGGTGCTGTGATGTTGGAGGTTTAGGTACAGTATTGGGTGAGGATGCAGTAAGGTAGTGGAGTGAGGCAAGGTGATAGTGTAGGTGCTGTGATGTTTAATGCAAGGTGGTGGTATGGATCGTGGAGTGAGGCAAGGTGGTGGTGTAGGTGCTGCGATGTTGGGGGTTAAGGTACAGTTTGAGGTGGAGATGCAGAGAGCTAGTGGAGTGAGGCATGGTAGTAGTGTAGGTGCTGCGATGTTGGAGGGTTTAGGTACAGTATGGGTTTAGATACAGTATAGGTGCAGGCAAGGTGGTAGACTAGGTGGTGTAGGTGCTGTAATATTTAATGTTTAGGTACAGTATTGGGTTTAGATACAGTATAGGTGCAGGCAAGGTGTGGTGTAGGTGCTGCGATGTTGGATATTGGAGGGTTTAGATACAGTATAGGTGCAGGCAAGGTGGTGGTGTAGGTGCTGCGATGTTGGAGGGTTTAGGTTCAGTGCAGGTAGGATGCTGGCAAGGTGCAGGCAAGGTGGTGGTGTAGGTGCTGCGATGTTGGAGGGTTTAGGTACAGTATAGGATGAGGCAAGGTGGTTGTGTAGGTGCTGCGATGTTGGAGGGTTTAGGAACAGTATTGGGTTTAGATACAGTATAGGATGAGGCAAGGTGGTTGTGTAGGTGCTGTGGTGTTTAATGTTTAGGTACAGTGTTGGATGAAGATGCAGAAAGCTAGTGGATGGAGGCAAGGTGGTCGTGTAGGTGCTGTGATTTTGGATGCTTATGTACGGTAATGGGATGTTGAGAGGCATCGTAGGCAATGATGTTGTTTAGCTGCTGCACTCTTGTGACACTTGCAAACATGCTGTGCTCGGATACTGCAGGTTCAGGACTGTTGTAGTGCGTGTTACAGACCAGATGCTGCTATGTTGATTCTAAGGATAGCAAGCTGGGTACTCACTATGTGGACATATATGGTATTGCTTATACTGGGGTAGACAGGGTGGTGGTTTAGGACATGCACTGTTGTCACAGGCTATGGGACATTTAACGTAAATACAACAGTACTTGGTATACAGAGTGTAGCTGGGTTGGGGTGGTATTCCGTTGCTGCTACGGAAGTAGTTTGGTTTGGGTGGGCGTTATGACGCCAATTCCGCCGTATTAACGGGAGTAACGGAGGATTAGAACAGATTCGTGAAGGACAAGATAGGAATCGAAAATAGGTCATGACAAAGCGGGTTTCAACCGAAATATGATTTGTATCGTCATTTTCTGCTAAGCATCTGTACATGGAATTTGACGACTGTTTTTAATAGAACGGGATGGGATTGTGTGGAATTCATTCCAGGTAGTAGCACACATGAGTAATTCAGATCTGACGACGCCTTAACGATTTATATCCTTTTGAGTAGAATACGTCGTGAAACCCTCCAGACACACGTGTAGTGTGATCTCATTTCAAGGCTATATTCACACGTGTGCACACACCTTGATTGCCACTCGGTCAATGTATATAGATTCCAGCTCTGGTTTATTTCTGTCACAATGCTTACCGATCTCGGCAGTACTGTAACATATGGGGCTGGCACACGTGTAAACGTGCCGACTCCCAAGGGTTCTAAACAAGACGCAGGACACACAATGTACCAACAATACACGCGCAGGGATAGACCGGTTTTAATTGTAAAAGCATATTCAATATCTTTACACAATGGATACAAACATCAGTTGTACTGGGAGCCGTTGCACGAAGCGATCTTTGGGTAAGGTGGTCGTAACGCCCATAATAGTCTGTCATGAAGATACTGAAGCACATATGAAATGTGTCAAGTCTAGATTTCCACAGCTTCTGAAAATGAAAAAGTCTCTGGGCTCCTTTTTTATTGTATTTATAATTTTGATTTAAAAACTTTTATTTTCTGTAAAATATGTTCATTTCGGATACTAGCTGTTAGTCTACTCCCACACCTTAACATAGACTTACCACTGTGGTAGCGCTAAGGTTGTTTTGTACAACGGCGCCCTGGTCAATGAATTTATCAACGCGTTCCTTCTTGTGTTTAAACACTATTTGGAATACGTGTCGTTTTCAATAAAACAGAGCCTTGAAATGAATCTTACCCCACGTGAGACGCTCAGGATGAATTCAATAATTAATATTCGTGTTTCTGAAAACGAACAGAGAGTGTGGTCCTCAATTCTACGTGCATTTCCCTCACTGGGACGATGCGTCACCATACCCAATCAGTAAATGTTTTATAGGTAAATGCCCTCTGATTATCTAACAAAGGCATCTGGATCGACGGTCTAGTCCGTGCTACCTGTCTGCCTGCTGGGAGTCAGGCAAGTTGTACATGGGGTATCAAAGCAAGGAACAGACCATATGATCTAATTGCTTCACACAAGCTTAAGCGCACGCTATAGTTTATCTGACAGGTCCCATTGATAAACTTCTGTCAATGATTTTCATTGTCAGGCGGCTCTGTGTGTCGAAGTATCTAAATCTTCCAAGTCAGACATCTTGATTGAGGCTCTGACCTTGGACATTTAGTCTAACATAAACGACAGAGCATCAATGGTGCGTTATTCACGAGGGGTTCTTATGAGCCAAGACGTCTATTACAAATCTATATTCTTTGCAATCGAAGCTTATGTTGTTTGATACCGACCGCCTGTTCCTGTAACTACGTAACTATGGTAACATTGATGCGATGCGATGCCATAAGATACACGTTGTATCAATTTGTTGGTAGCCAATACGACCTGCAGGTGGAGGCGAGCGGTATTTCAAGCACTGCTTGCAACTTGACGGTATATTATTGAATGTTTGCTCAATGAATAGTATGTGTTGGGAGGTACGTTTAAGCAAGCTGTTGTATTGACAATGCGTCCCGAAAGAGAATTCCTTCGTAGCGATTTTCGACCACGTGTTACTATAGGTCTGTCAGTCTTATGTTATGACTCGATGACTACCTCAGAAGCGGCTGCCCTGGCTTAGGTTGGATTTGGATACAGGATTGATCCAAAATACAACTTATTCGAATATGTCAGGTTAATGCAGTGGAAACGAACGCATGAAAGGGTGTTATAAGACCATTTAACCCGGCTTGAGGAACTGATGCCACACCGTTAAACCAAGGGTTTACTACCATTGGTGATCTGACCACATTGAGTGGGATTGTTTGCCGACTGGGTTCCAAACAATTAGTTCAGGGTCACTCTCCTCAATGAACAACCTCAGCTGACCCCTGTAATGAGATTTCCATATCTTTCGTAATCTAACACCTGACGTTTTGTACCCTCGGGTCCAGGTACAGCCAACACCACGGGTTCAACAGCAAGCCCGCCAGTTTGATATTTCAGTACGATTTCTACATCAAAACTCCCAAAGTGAAAAAAGGGTCAGACAGACAAGAATAATTGTTTTCAGTGTTCCCCAGACTTCTTCACCAACAGCAAGGTCGTCAGTTTAATATTTCAGTACGATTTCTACATCAAAACTCCCAAAGTGAAAAAATGGTCAGACAGCCAAGAATAATTGTTTTCAGTGTTCCCCAGACCTCTTCATTTTCAGCAAGGTCGTCAGTTTAATATTTCAGTATCATTTCTACATCAAAACTTCAAAAGTGAAAAAAGGGTCAGACAGACAAGAATAATTGTGATGAGTGTTCCCGAGTCTACTTCACGCAGGGTAGTGGGGTGGAATTCATCAAAGGTCTCCCGTCGGGGCCATTGTGTTTAACCCCAAGTCTGTGACCTCGTCCCTTGACGCAACGACAGCAAACTGACAGACATACGGCGGGAATTAGCGAAACGGTCCAATGTGTTCGGGCGAAAGAAGACGAGGTCCCTTGGAAATACCTCCCGTTTAATCTTAGGGATTGACCGTCAGCAAGCACACGTTAAAGTCTTGTCATTTGTCCGTTAAAGCCATCGTT